TGGCGGTGGGGACCCCTGCGCTAGTCCACCCCGGCCTCCCCGGGCTGCGCGGCCGCAGCGCGCCCACCCCTCCCGCTCCCCAGGGAGGACGCCTGCGCGGGCTGCGGTAAATATTTATAATGAACCGGAAACAAAACACGAGAAGAGCTCCATGACGAGCGGCACACGGATGGCGTGAGGCGGAGGGTGGGCGGGGTCACCTGGCTGCCAGCGGGGGTGGCCCCTCTTTTGGCAATAAATAAAGCTTGGGAAACTTGAAACCTTGGCCTTCTGGGTTTTGTGTGGGTCTGGAACACTGAGGAGTCCTGGCGGCTCTGGACCGGACAGGCGGCCGCGGGCAGCACGGCCGCTGGCATGCGGGGCGGCCCTAGTGCTGGGCGCCGGAGCCGCCGGGCCGAGGGCCGCGGCACAGCAGCGTGGCCGCCTGGCGGCGAGCAGACCCAGTTATTGCTCAGAGGGTGTGGACTGCCCAGGGCGCTGCATGAGGTAAACGGCCCCGGGGCTGGTGGCCGCAGCCTCTGGCCGGTCTCCCGGGCGGGGCCCGGCCCACCTGTCACCCCGGTCCTCGGCGCCCCACCTTAGGGCCGCGCACTCGCCTCACACCCCGGCCAGTTGTGACTCGAGCTCCCTCGGCCCTGGGGTGCCGCTGCACAGGCGCCCGTGCGGGGGGCAGGCAGCCCCACTGCACTCGGGCACGGCGTGTGCAGGCCCTGGGGTGCTCACCAGGGCTCCCGCCACCAGCCAGAGGCCTCGGAGGCGTCAAGCGTGGTGCTCGGGCGCCTGAGGCGGAGACTCCATGCCCCTCTGGCTGAGCCTGGGCCCAGGAGCCTTGGGGTGCCGCAGGGACCCCGCCGTTGCCAGAGCGGTCTGTGCCAGCACATCTGGGGGGTGGCCCGGGAGTCCCAGGTGCCCCCGGCCGTGCCCTGCCTTGGGGATCCCACCGGCCCGGCCAGAGGCTGACTTGCAAGCAGTGGGGGCAGGGCTTAGACCGGGCTGTGGTCGGGGGACGTGGGCGCGGCGGCGGCCAGCGTAGGGCCCGCGGCGGCGGCGACGACGGGCTGGGTGAGACTCGGCGGGAAGAGTCCATCGTCCAGATGGGCCACCAGCTTGTCCAGCAGCGCCCCTGGCGGCCTGGCGCACAAGCCCGAGCCTGGGCAGCTGCCGGTCCCGCCGGGCTCCTCCTCGATGACCGGGATGGCCGGGACAGCCGTTCCCGCCGGGTCGTCGGCCGCCCGGTCCGACGGGCAGTCGACACTGTCCCCGCGGCGCAGCGGAG